TGTTGAAAGTAAACATCCCTGTCTTATTCGTATTCTCAAGGGCAATGCTTTTAGTTTTTGCCCATTGAGTATGATGTTGGCTGTAGGTTTGTCACATATGGCCTTTATTATGTCGAGGTATGATCCCTCTATTTCCACTTTGCTGAGAATTTTTATCAGAAAGGGGTGCTGGATTTTGTCAAATGCTTTTTCAGCATCTATTGATATGATCATATGATTTTTATCTTTTATTTTGTTTATGTGGTGTATCATATTTATTGATTTGTGAATATTGTACCATCCTTGCATCCCCTCTGGAATAAATCCCACTTGGTCATGGTGAATAATTTTTTTGATATATTGCTGGATCCAATTTGCTAATATTTTGCTGAGGATTTTGACATCTGTGTTCATCAGGGATATTGGCCTGTAATTTTCTTTCCTTGTAGTGTCTTTATCTTATTTTGGAATTAGGATTATACTGGCCTCATTAAAAGAGCTTAGAAGTCTTTCTTCCTCTTGAATTTTTTGGAATAGTTTTAGGAGAATGGGTGTTAGTTATTCTTTAAATGTTTGGTAAAACTTCCCTGTGAAGCTGTTTAGACTAGGGCTTTTGTTTGCTGGGAGTTTATTACTGCTTCAATTTCCTTAGTTGTTGTTGGTCTGTTCAGGTTTTTTGTCTCTTCCGGTTGAGATTTGGAGGATTGTATGTTTCTAGGAATTTGTCCATTTTGCCTAGGGTGTCCAATTTGTTGGCATATAATTATTCATAGTATTTTCTTACAATTATTTCTATTTCTGTGGTGTCAGTTGTTACTTCACCTCTTTTGTTTCTGATTTTATTTATTAGGGTCCTCTCTCTTTGTTTTTCTAGCTAAAGGTTCATCAATCTTGTGTATTTTTTAAAAGGACCAGCTCTTAATTTTATTGATCTTTGGTATTGTTTTTTTAGCCTCAATGTCATTTATTTCTGCTCTGATTTTTATTATTTCTTTCCTTCTACTTACACTGGGTTTTACTTTTTGTTCTCTTTCTAATTCTTTAAGTTGTAGGGTTAGATAGTTTATTAGGAATTTTTCTTGTTTCCTGAAGTAGGCTGTAATGCTATGAACTTCCCTCTGAGGACTGCTTTTGCTGTGTCCCACAGATTTTGTGTTGGTGCGTGTTTATTTTAATGTTTCCAGGAAGTTTTTGATTTCTGCCTTGATTTCATTGGTAACCCATTCATTGTTTAATAAATGCTATTTAGCCTCTATGTGTTTGAATGTTTTTGAGTGTTTTTATTGTAATTTATTTCTAGTTTCATGCCATTGTGATCCAAGAAGATGCTTGATATGATTTCAGTAATCTTGAACTTGTAAAGACTTAGTCTGTGTCCTAACATGTGTTCTGTCTTTGAGATTGTCCCATGTGCACTTGAGAAGAATGTGCATGCTACAGTTTTGGGGTGAAATGTGCTGTAAATATCAATTAAATCCATCTGATCTAGTGTGTCATTTAGAGTCTGTGTTTCCTTGTTATTTTTTTGTCTAGAAGATCTATCCAGTGATGTCAGTGGGGTATTAAAGTCCCCTACTATGATTGTATTGCTGTTGATCTCTCTCTTTATTTTTGTTACAGATATTTCTCCTATTCCCCCCATTGACACCCTTCTTCCCACTCCCATTCCCCCCCCCCCCGAACTTTTAAAATATATTTTGGTGCTCCTATATTGGGTGTAGATAATGTTTACCAGGTTATATCCTCTTGTTGGATCGATTCTTTTAATATTATGTAGTAGCCCTTTTGTCTCTTTTTATGGCGACCTTACTGTTTCTTGAAAGAGTCAGACATATTTCCACCTTGTGGTCTTTGCACTTATTCTTCTTCCAGTTTGGACTGTTTGCTCATATCTTTCTTCTTCTCCTCTCCCTCTTCTCCCTCGCCACCTTTGCAGTAAAGCAAGCAAGAATGTATTGGCTGCAGCAAATACACATTCACATGGGACGTTTATCAAAGCTGGGGACAGTGAGACAGGAAAGGCGTAGCCTGGAAGGAACAGCAGAAGAGACCTGGGCGGGGCTGCTTTAGTTCACCGGGAAGTCAGAGAAAAGGGGGCCTTGGAGACAGGCTCAGGGGTTAGCCCAGGACAAGCTGTTGTCCCTTCCCATTGCTTCTCTGGTTGCAAGTCTCATGGGGTCCCTTAGAGTTTAGGATATGCATGTTTATGAGGGAAGAAGAGGGGTTATACAGCGGTTCTCAACCTGTGGATCGCCACCTCTTTGGGGGTTAAACGACCCTTTCACTGGGGTCACCTAAGACATAACAGTAGCAAAATTACAGTTATGAAGTAGCAATGAAAATAATTTTATGGTTGTGGGTCACCACAACATGAGGAACTGTATTAAAGGGTCGCGGCATTAGGAAGGTTGAGCATCACTGGGTTAGGGGAAGGTGCAGGTATGTTCCCCAGAGGGAGAGCGCACACTGCTTACATCTTTCCATTTGCTTGTTCTCTCTTCTTCCAGGTCTTTGCTCAGCTATCACTTTTCCAGATGGGCCTTCCCTGACAACCCTGTCCAGAATAGCACTCAGTCAGCTCTATCCCTTACTCTGCTTGATTTTCCTCTATGCCTCTTATCACTTCCAACTAGGATGTATGCGCGATAGGGCAGGGATTTCATTTTGTTCTTTAGTATACATTCCCAGTACCTGAAACGGTGTCTAGCACATAGTAGGCACTCAGTAAATATTTGTTGAATAAATGAATGAACAAATAGGTGTATTTCTTACCTGTGTTGTCCCTAAAATTATTAATTTTGTTTCTTCCTTTTTTTTTTGGTTAATCCTGACCCAAGGATATGTTTTCCATTGATTTTTTTTTTAGAGAGTGGAAGGAAGGAAGGCAGGGAAAGAGAGAGAGAGAGAGACAGAATGATGTGAGAGAGACACATCGATTGCTTGCTTCCCACACTTGCCCCAACTGACTGGAACCTGCAACCCAGGTACATGCCCTTGACTGGGAATCGAACCCATGACCTTTCAGTGCTCGGGATGATTGTCTTAACCACTGAACACACTGGCCAGGGCAAAATGTTAGTTTCTTGAGGGTAGAGACGTTCTCCCTCTTTTTTCTTTACCTGTGTCTCCACTGCCTACTGACATAAGTCAGAGTATGTTATTTTTGTTGTTGTTGACTGAAAGAATGAATCATGAATGTGTAGTAGAACCAATCTACCTTGTTGTGCGACTTTCTAGGCCTTGGATGCTCAGCTGCATCTTCCACTTACCTCTCTATCTATTGTGTTCGAAATTCTGTCCCACCGTTACATTGAAGCTTGTATTAAAATTTATCTGGTTGCTAGATTCAGTGCATACTTTTTCAGACTTTTTTATTACTTTCTGGGTCCTGTTGACCCTGCCTCTGTCTCCAGCCTCCCATCTCCATGACCATCCAGGTTCAGGCCTCATTATTTTTCACTTAGGTAACACAGTACCCTCCTAAAACTGGTCCTGCTACTTCCAGGGTACTTGCTTTCTCTTTTCACATTGTTGCCAGGATGACCTATCTAAAAGACAAGAAGCAAACAAAAAACAATTAGGACATTTATGGGACAATTGAAAATTTGAACATGTCGATAATATTAATGGAAATGATATAATGACTGGGAATATCATATTTTCTTCAAATAATACAGGAGTAGGGGATGTAGATGGGTCAGGATTGGCTGTGGTTTGATGGTTGTTGGAGCTGAGTGATGGGAGCTCATTTTATTATTTAGTCTACGTTTGTGTGTTCAAAACTGTGGGGTGAAACGTTTTTAAAAATCCAAATGTGAGTATATCTTTTTGCTTAAAATTCTTCAATGACTACTTAGGCTAAAATCTAAACTCATATGGTACACCTGGTTTTTCTTTTTTTCTTTCATTTTTTGTTTTGTTAATCCTCATCCAAGGGTATTTTTCCATTGATTTTTAGAGAGAATAGAAGGGGTGGGGGGAAGAGAGAGAGAGAAACATCAGTGTGAGAGAGAAACATCAATTGGTTGCCTCCCATATGCACCCTACCTAGGACATAAACCTGCAACCTGGGCATGTGCCTTGACTGGGAGTCGAACTGGCAATCTTTTGGTACATGGATGATGCTCACCTAACTGAGCCACACCAGCAGGGCACACCTGGTTTTTCTGAACTAACTCTGGCACCATGTCCAGCTTCAGTTGTTGCCATCCATCTTTTCACACTGTGTCCAGCTACATGGGGTGTGTGATTCCCTGAATTCACATGCTCTTTCACATCTCTGTGCTTTGTGTGTGCTGCGTCTCAGCCTGGAGTGCCCTCCCTGCTTCTTGGCTTTGCTTTGCCCTTCATACCTAGGTCAGGGGTCACCCTCTCGAGAGCCTCCCCTGAGGTGATGAGTGGAAGCATTGGTCCCATTATTGTAGTTGTCTCCCCCGCTCCCAGACTCCCAGCTCTTTGAAACAGGGACAGTCTGACCTCTGTGTCCCTACAGGGCTTGGCACTCAATAAATGATCACTGAATTAATGATTTTTCATTTTTAAATTCCCAGCACCCAGCATGGCACTCACTTAACATATGCTCAATATGCTCAGGAAGTGTTCATTGAACAAATGTTGAATGTGAACTACTGTGTGTGTGTGTGTGTTTAATCCTCACCCAAGGATATTTTTCTATTTATCTTCAGATAGAGAGGGAGTGAGGGAGAGAGGGAGAGAGGGAAACATTGATGTGAAAGAGACACATTGACTGGCTGCCTCCCTCACGACCCCGACCAGGGCCGGGAGAACCGCAACTGAGGTCCATGCCCTTGACCAAAATCGAACCTGAGACTCATTGGTCCGCAGGCTGATGCTCTAACCTCTGAGCCAAACCAGCCAGGGCTGAATTACTATGTTTTAACTTGATGGTGTAGGTTAGGAAGCTGTACTTCCTCCGCTTTCCGTAGGAGTGGTAAGTTGATAGTAGAACTGGCTGACAGAGTATGAGGAAGAGCTTTTGTTTTTTTCTCTGCAGGTATGGGGTGGAATTGGAGCCTCTCCCTGTACCTGACTACACCTAGCACCATGTGGTTACTAACTGCTCTTCATTCACCTATTGATGCCTCCCAGAAAAAAACGCCGCCAAACATCCCAGAAAGCCCAGCTGCAATTCCACCAACAGCCACTGGAGGGCCCCAAACACTGCTCTGGATCGCCACAGCTTCCAATCACCCGCACTAGACAGGTGCCCAGCAAGCCCATTGACCACAACACCATCACTTCCTGGGTAGGCCATGGGATTCTTCCTTTGACTTTCACTCTGTTAGGCTTCTCAGAGTATTGGCTATACTGCCTCTTGAACCAGGGCCTCCAAAGAATAAGATTCATGGGGGCAGGGACCAGGAGGAAATATACTCTTTTTGTCTTTTGTCAGCCATCTCTTCTGGTAAATCTTCTTTTCTCATTTCAAACTGAACTTAGAAAAGTTCAACGTGGTTGGTTGGAATTGGAGTCTTCCCCCACATTCCTCTGAAAGAGTTTAGTATAAAAGTTTCACTACCCAGTACCTGGGTGAGAAAGCCAGACAAATGGCAGAATCAGTAAAAAATGAGATTGTTTCCTGAGCTTCTTGGAAGAAGTATTTAGCTAAGTAACCTGTTTACAGTTTAATAGATTGAACCTCAAAAAACCCCCACAGAAATGGCCTATGTCATATTTTGACAGTTTAAAAGCTCTGGGAAGAGAATGTAACTACTGCATATTTGGGAAGTAGTATAGCAAAAGGACCAGATAAAAGCATACAATCTGCTTAGGAGTGCTTAATAAATTGTTTGCCATTGCTTAGAAGAACCATAATATTTGCTTCATGGTTGTAGAAGAAACTTAAGTGTTAGAATCCTGTGGCTGAGAAGAGGAATGAACGTTTATTGAGAACTCATTAAATGCCAGGTCCTGTGCTACTTGCTTTCCATCTGCAGTCTCACTCCCTATTCTTGCATTCAGCCATTCAGTCTTTGTTTTTGTTTTGTTTTTGTTAATTCTCACTAGAGGATATTTTTTCCAATGATATTTAGAGAGAGTAGAAGGTGGAGGAGGGGAAGAGAGAGAGAGAAACATTGATGTGAGAGAGACACATCAGGTGGTTGCCTCCCACACGTGCCCCAACCATGACTGTGGATCGAACCTGAAACCCAGGTTTGTACTTGGTATGTGGCTGTCCTCACCTTTAAAAAAATTTTTTTTTTATCTGTAGGTATCACCTGAGTTTGATACAACAGCAAAAAGCTGGTTCCCAGCCAATAGGAAACCGAAATGTCATTACCGGGACCAAGCAAGACATTCAAGTCGAAAATCTACCACCTCCAAGTTTCCACATCTAACATTTGAGAGTCCACAGTCTTCTTCCAGTTCAGCCATATTTGGAAGCCCCTTAACCCAGGAGTGCCCCAATCATTCAGAAAAGGACATTTCCCGAAGGCCCTTAGTTCCAATGCTCAGTCCCCAAAGCTGTGGGGAACTGTCAGCACATGCACTTGAAAACTTACCTTACATGTTAATTGCACCTGATATCCAGACCCCAGAGTCATCTTCTGTGAAGCAGATGCTCATTCCCCCCGATCAGAGGGAAAACAGCCTGCCAAGCTGCTCCCTTCACACGAGTACTCCTGAGAGCCCAGAGCCTGGGCCTGTTCTGGTCAAAGACACTCCTGAGGAGAAGTATGGGGTGAAGGTCACATGGAGGAGACGACGGCACCTGTTTACCTACCTCAGGGAGAGAGGGAAGCTGAGCAAAAGCCAGTTCCTCGTGAAAAACTGACTGGATTTCTCAGCCATCAGTAATCTCAAGAAATTGATTGCTGGTGTTCATAGGGTTGCTAAAGTTACTTTTCTGGCTCACAGAAGAGTTCATCAATAGAATAAAATGGAAAGAATACCGATAACCTCAATAGAAAAAAGAGATTTTTAACCAGAACCTTGGAGTCACAAGGGAAGTCAGTTCCCAGATTTGCTTTTTAAAACATCTTACCATAAGCGGTTTTTAGTGTCATAAACAGTTCACTTTATATTTTTCTTGTAGTAACTGTTTAAAATGTGTGTAAATAAATGGTTGTATTAAGTTTTTAGAGAACCCTGCTTCTGACTGCCAATAATGCAGCAACACTGCCCCCTCCACTAAAGGTCTTTCCTAATTGTTTGCTTTAACCACTACTCAATCCTTTAATCACCTCATTCAAACTAATTCATTCCACATTTTTGAGTACCATCTCTGTTGGGTTCAGTGGCAGCTTCCTTTATGACCCGATGAATGGGAAAAAATCAAAGCAAACTCTGTGACTTTATAGTTGACCTGCTGCCTGGGCAACCTTGGCCCTTCTGCTGAAAGGCAAGTGAAGCGAGGGCAGCAAGCCCTGTTTCAGTGGCTACTGCAGAATCAGGGAGATAAAGGGGGCATGAGTAAGGTACTTAGGTTTGCTCTGTTTTGATTTTTTTATTTCCAACCAAAGAAATCTATAAATATTAAATAGGATTTTAATATTTAATAAAATGATTTCTTGGAGTAACTGTTTGTTTATTTATTTTTAATATGTTTTTATTGATTGTTTAGGGAGAGAGAGAGAAACATCAATCATCTGCTTCCTGCATGCCCTCTACTGGATATCAGCCATCAGCCAGCAACCCCGGCTTGTGCCCTGACCAGGAATCCTACCGGGACTTCGCAGTCCATGGGACAATGCTCAATCCTCTGGACCATACTGTCCAGGCTGGAGTAACTGTTTAAAATGTATATAAATAGCCATAGCTGGGGTGGCCCAGTGGGTTTGTTGTCTTATGCACCAAAGGTTGCCCATTCAATTTCTGGTCAGGGCACATACCTAGGTTGTGGTTTGAGCCCCCATTAGGAGGCAACCAATCGATGTCTCTCCCTTCCCTTCTCTCTCTCTCTCTCTCAACAAAAAAATTATATATATATCTCCTTGGGTGAGGATTTTTAAAAAATGTATGTAAATAAATGTGGAAACTTTTCAGAGAATACTACTTTTTTTTTTTTTAAATCCTCCCCCAAGAATATTTTTCCATTTATCTCCAGATAGAGTTGGAGGGAGAGGGAGGAAGAGAGAGAGAGGATCATCGATGTGAGAGAGACACATAGACTGGTTGCCTTCAGCATGACCCAACTGGGGCTGGGGAGGAACCACAACTGAGGTTCTTGCCCTTGGCTGGAATCCACCCAGGACTCTTTGGTCCGGGGGGACGCTCTAACCACTAGTCAAACTGGCTAGGGCAAGAATACTACTTTTTATTGTAAATAATACAGGACTGCCCGGTCAAAAAAATATTTCCATTGTCCTTTCACCAGTACAAACAACATCTCATTCAACTCCATTCACTCAGCTTTAAAACCTTACTCTGTGTCAGGTCCAGGCCAACCTAGACAAGCAAGGATTATTCTGTTCATTTAAAAAAAATTTTTTTCTTTATTGATTTTAGAGAGAGAGGAAGGGAGAGGGAGATAGAAACATCGATGAGAGAGAATATTGATTGGCCGCCTCCTGCATGCCCTCCACTGGGGAGCAGGCCCATAACCAGGGCACCATAACCAGCGACCTCTTGGTGCATGGGTCGAGACCCAACCACTGAGCCACGCTGACCGGGCTCATTCTGTTTATTTTATAGATGGAAGTTTGAGGCACAGGTAATGGAACATGTTCAGGATCACAGTGAATGGAGGCTAACTCAGCCAGTGCAATGCTGTCCTAGCTTGTGCCAAGTCCTAGGCTTCTTAGCAATGCAAAACGAATGTGAAAACAACTTTGATCTTGGAATGCTGTAAACTAAAGTTAATGTGGGACAACTTTTGTCAGGATGTTTTGTAGGGATTGTAATGTAAGTTGTTGGTGAGAAAGGAAGTGATGGTTGGGATGAGATTTCTTGCAAACGAGAGTAAAGATTTAGATACCTTCCATAAGGTATTTGGATGTTTTGAAGATGGTCCATGGGCTGTAGAGAGAGAGGTAAATGGTACAGATTAAGTAGAGCAGGTCTAGGAATGCTCTAAAAGTGCGGGCTGGAGTCGGGGAGGCTGAAGGGTTTCTGTGCGGTTCGACTGCGAAAGCGGATGCACTCCTTTGGGAATGACGGCTGGAAGAGGCTACAAGTGTGGTTCCCAGAAAGGCTCCGGTGTCGGAATGGTTGTGCTGTGAGGGAGCCGGCGTAGGTCTGTCGGCTCTAATATTACAGACCTCGGGAAGCGCTCTGGGTGGTCTCTGTACAAACTGGGGGTGTGGGGAGGCTGCTCCATTTGTGGGGGTTGGGCGTCTCCTCTGACCAACTCCCTTCCCAGCGGCCGGGAGCCAATGCCACTGCCAGGGGCACATCCTCCGCCCCAGCCGGCACAGTGGTCCAGGCACCCAGCCCTAGCGCGTCATCCCCACTCCGGCGCAGGCGCCTGTAACTCCAAGTTCCAACGCCCCTTAAAATTCCCCGCCCCTTAGAAACCCTCCCGCAACGCCGGGCGGCAGCAAGAACCAATGAGAGAGGAGTGGCTGGCCCATGGGCCAATAGGCGATGGCGACAGTGCGGGGTGCGGTTGCCAGGGGGCGGGGCCCGGCTGCGCGCCAGGCTTGCCACCCTAGCAGCGGAGTCGGGGATCTGGACGAGGTGGTTACTTTCTGAGCGGCGGGAATGGAGGCGTCGCGCTGCCGACTCGGACCCCGCGGGGACAGGTCAGAGAAGAGTGATGGCTGGTCTGGCCTTGAGCGGGGAAGAGGGCAGAAGCGAGATAGTGCAGTCTTCTCTGGGCGCTCCAAAGGAGAGGGTGGAGGGCTGAGGTCGGGGAGGGAGGCGCTGATTTGGAGTCCCGTTGCCCCTCCGCCGCGGAGGACCTCCTTTTCCCAGGGCGGCGGTGGGGCGCGGCGGCTCCACCTCCTGAAGTCCCTGCTCCGGAAACTTACTCCAGTGGGCCTCGGTTTCTCAAAACGCGGTAGCCCTGCGCCTCGCGCACCACCTCGGAGTGTCATGACAGACTGGATGAAGTCGTTCCCCGGGACGTCGAAGGTTGCGGGTGGCATTTAATAATTTGCTACAAGGCCATTGCTTTTGGCAGGCAGTGCTGAATTGTGGAACAGAGCCCGAGGACTGAAAATGCAAAAGTATTCTTTTGCTTCTATTAGCTTTATAGTAGTGATCTCTTATTGAGGATTGGCTGTCTGTCGTACTTGGAAGTATACCATACCCCTTGTATGTCCCTTTTTCTCCCTCTGCCTGAAAGAAAACGATTTGAAACCTCAGCCTGTCAATTTTGTTTGCCAGGTTAATGAAAAGTTAATGGGCAGCGGCGTGAAATCATTGGCTTAAACTTTGGCATTGTCTGAAGATTTAAATCATACACGCCAACTGCATTCTCTTTTTAGTCCTTACCACGGCAAATGAACATTTAGCGGGTAAGGATTTAGTCTGATATTTAGATTTACAGATATATAAACAATTTTAAGCCAGCACCAACCCTGGCCGCTGTTGCTGGGTGGTTAGAGCGTCGGCCCGTGCACTGAAGGGTCGCCAATTTGATTGCGGGTCAAGGGCATATACCTGGGCTGCAGGTTCCATCGCTGGCCCTAAAGACACCCAAAAGATGTGCCTCTCTCACATTGATGTTTCTCTCTCTGTCTCTCTCCCTTTCGTTCTCTCCCTTCCACTCTCTAAAAATCAATGGAAAAAATATCCTCAGATGAGGATTAAAAAAACAACAACAAACAAACCAAAATGTTGTCAGGAAGGAAGAACCCATTTTCCTCTTTCATCAGGTTTTCTTTTTTTTTTTTTTGGTACGTGCCCCTAGTGGGAACCGAACCCGGGACTCTGGTCCGCAGGCTGCCGCTCCAACCGCTGAGCCAAACCGGCCAGAGCTCATCAGGTTTTCTTTATGGGATAACTGTGCTCTGTGAAATTTGTTCACTGCATTTTTTTTTTCCAGGTCAGGAGAAAAATAATCCACATTTACAAGTATAAATATGGAGGTGCTAGGAGGAGGTAAAGTTAAAATTGAGCATCTTCTTTGAATTCAGATGGTATCTGTTCAGTTATAGGCACTCAATAAATCTTAATTGAATAGATTTAAGGCAATTTCACAGGTACCTGATGTTTGATATGACTCATGATTTTTTTTGGGAAAAAAGGAATTTGAAATTGAGAATGGTTAATTTATTGGATCTGAAGTTTAAAGGGATACTTTTAAAGTTTTCTCTTTCTTCCCAAAGAAACCAGCTCTTTAATTTAGAAATTGACATCAAAGGGGAATATGTGAGTCACCAAATGTTTCTCCTGCCTTAGGTAATATTAGTGCAGCCTCTATTACTGTTTAACTCATTTGTTGTTGAGATGGAGTGGAATGTTTCTTGCTTTTTGGCTCCAGGTTGTGTGTTTAATGTTTTTCATGAAATACATGGATAGAGTAGTTTTTTCATTAATACATTTGTCTTGGATCTTTTTAAAAAATATATTCTTTATTGATTTTAGGGAGAGGTGAGAGAGCGAGAAGGGAAAGGGGAGAAAGAGAGCGATAGAAACATCGATACTAGCATCGAAGCTGCTTCCTGCAGGACCCCTTCTGGGGATCTAGCCGGAAACTGGGCTCCTTTTGGGGCATGGGATGATGCTCAACCAACTGAACCACGTCCGCCAGGCTGGAGATGAAATTTGAAACAGTACTCTGAGGACCTTTGATGAGGCTAGGCATTTGATATTATAGATTCCCTAGAGATGACAGGGGATGACAGCGAATTTGAGCTCTCTCTGGCCCTTTTGTTCCTGATCAAGAATTGAAGGTGTGGTGAGAGAGACTTCTCAGGGTGATGTGACCTTGTGACCCAGAGTTGACTAAGAAAATCTTTGTCTATGGTTTATCCATATGCCATGATTTCTCTTTAGTAATATAAGCAGTAGTAGTGGCTGGAGGTTATATCTTGTCCAGGCTTTTTATGCTTTCATGTTCTCCCTTTTTAAAATGTTTCATCCGATCAACTAATTGTTGGCAAACAGATTTACCCAGTGCTTAAAAATACTTAGATTAACTAATAGACGACTACAGTATGTTTGGCAAATACCAAAAGGTAAAGTAAAGGCTTAATAATGTGTAATTTCTCCAATTGTGAAGGCTGCATGCAGACCTAGAAAGGAAAGAATAATCTCTGTAATAAATTTTCTCTCTTCCAAGATCCCTCTGTCTACGCAGACAGACTCAGACATTTTTGGAATAGTTTTCATTTTTGGCTTCTCTTATGTTTCCTATGGAAACTCTGCTGTTTCCTTGCATTTGCGCCCATTGAAAGAAAAGGTTGTTTCATCTTACCAAGAAGAAAAGTATGCTTGAATTGCTCAGAGGAGGAGTTTGAAGCTGCCTTGCTTCTTTGTTTTGAAGATTTTAGGACTAGAAGGGCCTTTGATAATTCCCTTAGTTCTCCTATTCGAAAGTAGTTTCACAGTGAGATTAAGGCTCCTTTCAAACTCAAATTTCCGGTCATCTGTTTTTGTTTTAATTCTTCTGAGTCAGTTCACTAAGAATAAGCTCTTTGTACCTCTAACTCTATTCTGCCTCATCAGACATCCTTACTGTTAGTAATAATGAAAGCTGCAACATTTTCCTGGCCTGATTAAGCTTAAATTCACTTTGCGTGAGAGACACAGTATCCACATGCTGACTGATGTGCTGTCTTTATTCACTCACTTCATAATACTTGATATGAGTCCTGGTAATAGTATTGTCATGTCTGTCCCTTTGCCTTAGAACTTCTGTGAAAACATTCAGTGATGAGCATTATATCACGAGTCATGGGACCTTTGGAGGACCACAGTTCTGAAAAGGATTATGGGAATACTTTTATTTTATATAAGGTGGCACTTGCTGTTTTGCCACATAACATTGTGGGGGAAACACTGGAAGTTTCTACTGAGTTCCTGAGTTCCAGTCCCAGTCTTTTCTCTTTCTAGCAGTATGATCTTGAGCAGCTCATCTCCTCTTTGGCTTCAGTTTTCTCTGGAAAATGAGGGCTTCTTCATATTCCCTCAGTGATTTATAATAGATTAATAAAATAACAGCTATATATATCTGAGCTGCACATGGCTCAAATTTCAAAAGGTACAAAATGATATTAAGTGAAAATGATGTCCTTTTTTCATTGTCTCCACGTCACCTAGTTCATTCATTGATAGGTTTCTTAGGGGATCTCCAAAAATATTCTGTGTGTCAAATAATACTTTTCAGACTTAAAATTTGATAATTTTTGAGTTTTAGGGTAGGATATAATAGCCTACGCTCTGATATCTACTTTCATCCTAGGCAAGATCTGTTTTTAGAATATGAGTTATAGTTGCTACAAGTTTTAATTTTTTCCTATGATAATTGATATAGAGAAGATAGAACTGTAAGAAGAAAACAATAATTATTTTTCAGACAGGCTTCTGGAAAAATAAATCACTCTATTTAGCTTTTTAGGAAGAAATTTCAGTGAATCTATAGTTTGCCTTTAATTTTAGGTTTTATAATGAAAGAAGTTTGATAGAGGATTGACTTGTTTCCCTATTGAAACCTAGTGTAATTTTGTTATGGCGAGTTGATATGTCATGCAAACTAGAGGCAAAGCAGAGAGGAGTGTTTTGACTGAGTAATGTTCATCATGAGCTGTGTTTATAAAAAGATAAAATGATCAACAGTAATGGCTTACATTTGTGTATCCTTAGCAGCATTTGTAGTGCTTTCATGTATTTGATCTTTTAGATTCATAACTCTGAAGAGCTGGTGTTACTCTCTTTATTTTATAAATGGGAAAATAAAGGTCCAGAAAGGTGTCATATACCAAAGGTGACATGACAAGTAAATGGTGTAGTCAGAAGTAAAATTCAGCTTTTGACGTCTAGTTTCCTCTTTTCTTTTTTCTCACGTTATTATCAAAATATCTAATCCAGATATTCTGGATCGCACATGTAAATGATAACAACTGATACCGACTGCATTCTAATTATTTTTAGGGAGAGCAGTGAAGAAATAAGACATTTTAGTGGAAGTACAAATGCCTATTAATTTCATCCAATGGAAAGGGAGTGGAAATATTTATTTGGTGTCGGTAGGCAAAGGAATGGAGTTTCATCTTTATGCAAGAAAGAGAAGGGAAATAGCATGCCTGAAGAGAGAAAATGTAACCCCGAGTAAAGGAGAATCAGGCAAAAGTTGGAATGAATTTAGATTCTGAGTAATGTCCCTTTTCAAGTCTATACAGAATAAATAGATTTTTTAAACTTCTGGATCAAATCATATATTTCACATAACCTTTCTGTTTGGTTTACTTAAAAGAATGCTTTTGAAGAGGGGTTCACTCTAAAGTAATTTTCCTTGCTGCGTTCTTTGGGGACAAATGAATGATCTAATTGATTACAAACTCTTTCTTCTCATTGCCTCTCTCTCCCCAAGCAATTCTCTTTTCTTTCTGATTGTCTCTACTAAATGGGCCTCTTAGGAAATGGATTTTCATTCCCTAAGATCAGTTCCAGGTTGTGGAGTCATCCAAGTAGAAGACAGAGGAGCCTGGAATACTAACATTTCTCCTTAGAGGAGGATGGATTTCAAACGAGTCTTTCTCTGGCAGTTCTAATTTGATCTTTGTGTGCTTTTTCCCAGAAGCAATGTTTTATTCCAGCCAGATGTGTTCTAGGTGTCTCATTTAGGATTTGGACA